TTAGAGAGAATTATGACAAGGTCCGAAGAAAAAAGAAGATAATTATCAGTTAGTCCCTATAACAAATAAGTAGTTGTCATTTATTACTCTGAAAGCTATTACTGCATGCTGTACTAGTAATTATATTTTTCACTTGGGACTTCATAGCGATTCTCTCAATTTATTATCACTTATCCAATTGAGGCTATAATAATTGAAGTTATCTCTTCCAATCCCTCCTAACATTTACTGTAGTTTAGATTACTTTCTTGATATAGCTAGATTTTATTTCCTTTTAACCTTTGTTTTAGGTTGCTTCTTATGCAAATTAAGAGAATGTGTTAATGCTTAACTAGGTTGTTAGTATTATTTAATATTTTTTTTGTAAAAAAATATTCCACCTATCACTTTATTACTTTACAATGACGAATTATGGAATAAAAACTGAATAATAATTATATATAGTTTCACATAATTAAGTTAAAAAACTGTCATACTCGTAAAATCTACTCATAAAAAAACGCGTTTGGAATAGTCTTGAAGACCAGACCATAATAATAGTAGTTGTAGACTTTTGAATCTTTTGCAGTTTTGCATGAATTCTAAGAGACAAGCAACATCATGCAATAAATTATTGGTCACAAAATTTGTGACCGTGATTTACAAAGAAATTACTACCCTCCTGTTTTCCATATATGTGCCTACTTAAGAAGAAATTGATGGTCCTTTATCCTTATTTATTTGTTCTTATATGAGAAAAAGAACACACAAATTAATCTTTTAATAATTAGGTTCCAAAAATTCTCTGTAACTCATCTTTTAGTAATATTTTTTTAGATATGAAAAGTTGATGTTTTCAGGCATGAGTTTCCCTTCTGCATTTTTAAGATATTTTTATATTCTTTTAGTTATATAGTACATTCATCATCTTTTTTTCTTCTTTTCTGGTTGGGGACACTTGAGCACTGCACACAGAACCCACAACAGGACATCAAAATCCCTAATCTCCAACTACTAATACAAATTTAAGCATTACTATAAACAAAAAATCAGGAGTTAGCATAATTTTAGTTTGCATCTTTAAACTTTCAACCCATAACCTTTCATAAAAAAAATATTTAAAGATGTTCAAACTTGTTTTTTTCCCAATGAAAAGGGCAGCTGAGTAGGTACTAAAGGCCTAGGATTATATTATAGGGGATATCAAACCTGTGACCTTCCTTTTAGAAAAGAGTTTTCATATGCCACTAGACCACAATGCTATTATTTTAAAAATGTTCAAACTTTGTGTTTGATCAACCTAAAGCTACGGATACCATTTAGGCCACTAGGGATAGACATTATGTTAAGGCTAAGCTTGACCCATTTGGTAGAAGTTCATGAAGGGTGGTAGTTCTTTCCAAAACAATTAATTAGAAAAAATTTAGGCATTTCTAATTACTACCTCCGGTCCTAATTATAAGAGCTAGTTGACTAATATGAGAAAATTAAGGAAAGAAGTTAAGTTAGTTATTTGTAATAAATAGGTGTTGTCTTTCCTAAAATATCCTTACTAATCAAGTATGTTAGCTAAAACTATAATTATTAGAAGGACTAGAAAAAAATTGAGTAAATATGAGAGACAAAATGGATTGGGGTCTTATATTTAGGACCAATATAAAAGTCAAATGGAATTTTATATTAAAGACTGAAAGTAGTAATTGTCATACACTTCATGTGAATCTATTTAGCATATTCGAGAGTTTATTGTATTCCAATTCCAATTATGTGGGACCCAATAGACTAGTTTTGTATTTTATTATGCCCTTCTCACACATTATGTTTATGTCCATTGCCTTAATTTGGATGTTCTCCAAAGACTTTTGACTCTAATTTGTGCCCATCTTACACCTCTTTAATAATGAGTTTGTTTTCTTGGGATTTTTGTAGGACCTTTATGTGCGTTGTGAGGTTCATCTTACGTTTAGCAATCTCTTGTCCATTTTTACTGTACAAGAATTAATATAGATGAAGACCATTAACAATGATATTATTTTTTTATTCTTCTTTGATTTTTCAAAAAAGAAGGGGGAAAAACTCTACTATCTATTACAATTATTACCGTCATTTATCCTCACAAATTATATATGCATGAAGTTTTTAAAAAAAATAGTTTGTTAAATAGATTAAATCTGTGTGAAGAGAAAAACTAGTTTCCATGGTGTCTATATTTCTTAGGGTTAAAAGTCAAAAATATATATGAAAATATACTAAAACTTCACCCAACATCATGAATTTTTTTTGGGTTCAAATTGATTGATTCAAATTGAAAAAGAGCTCAATGGTGCCAATGCTATCAAAATTAACAAATGTCCCTTTTTTAGCAATGGGACCCATGATTTTTTTTTTAGTGAAAGTATCAAAATACCCCTAATTAAAACGAAAAAGTGTTAAGAGTCAAAAATACCCATGAACTTCATCGAACACCATATGATTTTTAATAAAAGTACTAAAATACCATCAAATTTTGTAAGGCTATTAGATTAGAGTGTGTTAGATATTATTAAGTATAATAAATTTTTATATCATCAATCTTTATAATTAAAAAAGATTATTAATCTTTTTCAATACATTTTTTATTAGCCAATTTTTTTGCTTGTTGTAAAAACTAGCCTATTGTTATAGTTATTCTATTCATTAATGGCTGAAGATATTTTAATAGCATAAATATTATACATAATAATTAAATATTTTTGTAACTACTAAAAATAGCCTTAAATTTTCTCAAAGAATTTAAACATAAACATAAAAGAAATTTCAAGTTGACTATTAAATTTGATAACGTAGACTAGAGGATAAACACACAGCTCCATGTATCATGGATATAAGCAATTTATTTTCAAAGATATCCATAATGACTACTCAAAAAAAAAAGATTGGGGATATAAATAACTTAACATTGAAGAGCAATCCAATTCAAGCTTAAACTTTTTTATATTAGTTATTTTAATTATAAAAATTTTATTATAATTAATAATCTCTAACACACTCTAATACAATATACTTTCGAGATTGGGTGTATTTTGATACTTTTATATATATTATATGGTGTTTGGTCAACTTTAAATATAAGTTCATGTGACTCTTAATTCTCTTCCGTTTTAATTGAGGGTATTTTGATATTTTTATTAAAAAAACTATGGGTCCTACAACAAAAAAATGGATGTTTGTTAATTTTAACAGCGTTGACATTATTAATCTCTTTTTTAAACTTGGATTGGTAAATTTGATCGCAAAAAAAATTCATGGTGTTAAGTAAAGTTTTGGTATATTTTCATAAGTGTTTTTAACCTTTAACCTTATTTTTATGATAAAAAAATGTACACATTTTGAATAAAACAAAAGTGTCATAAATAGTATCTAAAAGTGATTTTACAATTTATGATGTGAATAATTTAAATATGATGATCATAATACTAATAAATGCCCTATCAGTTAATAACTAGAGTGAATAATTAAGTGCTCATAACTTTCTTTTTTTTTTTTGACCGGGCTCATAACTTTCATTGCAAAAGAGAAATAGGGATCGCATAACAATACGAAAGACAAATAAACCTTTGCCCTCAGTCATTTCAATATTTTTCTATGTAAAGACGCTGAGATTGCACTCATTTTGTGATCATCACTTTGTGGAAAGAAATTAAATAAAAGATGGGTGTCATTGTGGTATTTTTATTAAGCTTTTCCGTAACAAAATTAAAATTTGTTCTTAAAGCAAAAAAAAAATCAAAACATTTTTTTTTATTTTTCTGCCTTTTCTTTTATAAAATTAGGGAAGAGACACAGAATATTATATTTTTGTTAATTATGTCAGGTTAATAAAGCAAACTAGTTTTGACCCTTCACTTCACCATTTTATGTATGGTTTTTGAAATAATGATTCTAACATTTTTTTTTATACTTTTGGTATTCAAAACTTATTCTAAAAAGTAGTTGTAAAAACATAAAAGTTGAGCATAAAATCAAACAAGCTTTTATTTTATTTACTTTCTGTTTTTTTATTTTTAATAGTCAAAGTTAGTTAACACGTTTCTTTATATGTCACTTAAAAGTTATAATTTTGTGTTCAAGAAAAATAAATTTATGCTTATGTAAAGACTCAACTTCTACACTCATTTGGTGATCACGTTGCATGAATCAGTGGCATTCTCCAAAATTATGTTGACGACTCCAACAATAAGCACTGTGATGGTAATAGTGATTTTATGATTATGCCCTCTCATTACTTTCTTCAATAATATTGCCACTTCCATGATAGCAGAGGAGAAACATGCTCTGTTTTAGAGCAACTAGTGGTAAGAAAAGGTATATTTTCATAATTTGATTTGTCTTTCAAAATATAATCCTAAAAGTTAAAAATAATGGGTTCTTTAATTCGGAGTTCCATCAGACCACTATGCTGTGATGTTCATCATCTCATGTTTGGCAATTTCATGCCCACTTTCACTATAATAAATCCAAAGACTAAAGACTTTAATATTGACTAAGACTATTAATTAACAATTAAGGCAATCTTACACGATATGATTAGTCCATTTGCCATTGGACCTACACACTCCAACCACTTTGACGCGTAGAAGGGAGATTCAATAATATTGCTCTATATATAAAGACTTTGTGGATGCACTCATTTTATGATCACCTTGTGTAGACAAAGGAACTAAAGATGGGTGTGATGAGAGCAGTATTTTTATTATGGTTTGTTGTAATAACTTGCTTCCACATTAATGGTGTAGCATCAGTTGCCATGATAAAAGAAGAAAAACGTGCTCTGCTTTAGACCAAATGGTGGGATTTCATCAACAGTGCCCATAATATGTTAGACCCTTGTCACTGGGAAGGCATATCTTGCAATGATTTTGGAAGTCTTGTTGAGATGAATTATCAACAGATGACTACACAATACCATCATCTAGCAGATTTCAGTTTTACTGCATTTCCCAATCTAGAACGTCTCATACTTTTTGAAATGGCTTTGATAGATACCATTCCAAGCCAGATAGGATCTCTTCATAAACTTATCCTTCTAAACTTATCTTTGAATAGTCTTACTGGTGAGTTGTATATCTTCTACTTCTACTCTTACCATCCAAATTCACTTAATTCAAAAACATTGTATTTACCATTACATAACCTAATATTTCTATTAACAGGGATCATTCCATCACAAATAGGGGCTATTCAAAATCTTACTCATTTAGACTTGTCTTCTAACAGTCTTACTGGTGAGTTATATATCTTCTATTTCCACTCTTGCAAATTCACTTAATTTTGAAATTTTATATTTATCTCCACACAACCTAACACTTTTATTGACAGGGATCATTCCATTACAGATAGGATCTCTTCATAATTTGATTCATCTATACTTACCTTCTAACAATCTTACTTATGAGTTATATATCTTTCATTTCTACTCTTACCTTGTAAATTCACTCAATTTGGAAATATTATATTTACCCCCACACAACCTAATACCTCTATGGACAGGGATTATTTCATCTCAAATAGGAGCTCTTCAAAATCTCACTTATCTGGACTTGTCTTCTAACAATCTTACTGGTGAGTTATATATCTTTCATTTCTACTCTTACCTTGTACATTTACTCAGTTTGAAAATATTATATTTACCCCTACACAACCTAATACCTCTATTGACAGGAATTATTCCATCCCAAATAGGAGCTCTTAAAAATCTCACATATCTGGACTTATCTTCGAACAGTCTTACTGGTGAGTTATATATCTTCCATTTCTACTCTTACCTTGCAAATTTACTAAATTTTGGAATATTGTAGTTATCTTCCCCTAACCTAATACCTCTATTAACAGGGATTATTCCATCCCAGATAGGAGATTATCAAAATCTCACTTATCTAGACTTGTCTTCTAACAGCCTTACTGGTGAGTTATATATCTTCCATTGCTACTCTTACCTTGCAAATTAAGTAAATTTTGAAATATTATATTTATCTCCCCACAACCTAATACCTCTATTGACAAGGATCATTCCATCACAGATAGGATCTGTTTATAATCTGATTCATCTATACTTATCGTCTAACAATCTTACTTATGAGTTATATATCTTTCATTTCTACTCTTACCTTGTACATTCACTCAGTTTGAAAATATTATATTTACCCCTACACAACCTAATACATCTATTGACAGGGATTATTTCATCCCAAATAGGAGCTCTTAAAAATCTCACACATCTGGACTTATCTTTGAACAGTCTTACTGGTGAGTTATATATCTTCCATTTCTACTCTTATCTTGCAAATTAAGTAAATTTTAAAGTACTGTATTTATCTCCCCACAACCTAATACCTCTATTAACATGGATCATTCCACCACAGATAGGGTCTCTTCATAATCTGATTCATCTATACTTATCTTCTAACAATCTTACTTATGAGTTATATATTTTTCATTTCTACTCTTACCTTGTAAATTCACTTAATTTGAAAATATTATATTTACCCCCACATAACCTGATACCTCTATTGACAGGGATTATTCCATCCCAAATAGGAGCTCTTCAAAATCTCGCTTATCTAGACTTGTCTTCTAACAGTCTTACTGGTGAGTTATATATCTTTCATTTCTACTCTTATCTTACATATTAAGTAAATTTTGGAGTATTGTATTTATCTCCCACAACCTAATACCTCTATTGACAGGGATCATTCCACCACATATAGGATCTCTTCATAATCTGATTCATCTATACTTATCTTCTGGCAATCTTGCTTCTGAGTTATATATCTTTCATTTATACTCTTACTTTGTAAATTCACTCAATTTGAAAATATTATATTTACCCCTATACAGCCTAATACCTCTATTGACAGGGATCATTCCATCACAGATAGTATCTTTTCATAATCTGATTGAACTAGACTTGTCTTATAACTGTCTTACTGGTAAGTTATATATCTTGCATTTCTACTATTACCTTGCTAATTCACTAAATTTTGAAATATTGTATTTATCTCCACACAACCTAATACCTCTATTGACAGGGATTATTCCATCCCAAATAGGAGCTCTTCAAAATATCACTTGTTTGGACTTATCTTGCAATAATCTTGCTGGTGAGTTATGTATCTTCTATTTCTACTCTTACCTTGCAAATTCACCCAATTTGAAAATATTGTATTTGAAAAGACCTCTTCTTAATACATAATTATAAAACCATTTTTTTATGATAATCATGACAAAAAAAGACTTGAGTTAGAGTATTAAAATATTACTATAGTTATAAAGAGTTTGTCTTATTCCAAAAACATCCTTAAAGGCTCAATATACATAAAACGCTCATGAGTTTAACAACAAGTATAACAAGGACTCAAGGCACAGTAACCGCCTACAAGATCAACACAAAAATTCACCCCAGCAAGGCTTAGGGCACAAGAAACACAGGATGCCCAGCCCAACCCACAAATCGTAAACATAAGTGTAACACATGCGGTAGAGCTTTATGGCCTCCAACTATTCTAACAGCACTATATCACATACAGTCATCCAACAACCAAACCAAAGAAAGTGTATATCAACAAAATCATGGGCCCAAAGATGGCAATATACATAATATTACATACCCAAATCAAAAAAGGACTACTAGGCTATGCTCCCCGATGCCTCTAGTTACTTCTCTTCATGCCGAGTCAAACTAGACTGCTCTCCCAAAAAGCATTGATATCTAACGGGATGAGACATAAATGTTGGAATGGCTGAACACCCAAGAGGGGGGGTGAATTGGGTGTTGGTTAAAATTAAAAATCTTTTCGCAATGTAATGAAATTCATAAGAAATTCTGAGTATAAAAACAATGAATCGAGATAAACATAATCGCAGTAGTAAAATGATTTAGCTGGAAATATAAAGAGGTAAGGGAAGAGAAGATGCAAACAGTGATTTATCCTGGTTCGGTCCTCACTGACCTACGTCCAGTCCCCAGGCTCCCCCTGAGATTTTCAATCGACTATCTCCCTCAAGTTTAACACGGGTACTTGAGAACCACTACAATCACAAGTTTGATCCGGGCACTTGTGACGCCACTTACAATTCTTAGACTAACCAGTCTAATTCAACAACAACCTCACACCGAGGTAATACTCTCCCTTACTCACCGTAAGGATACAATCTAATAATGATAATGAAGATTGAATATTTCTTCTCTCAAAGAAGTGATAGATGAATCTTAAGCACGTTTGGGAAACTCTCCTCTCTATCTTACGGATACATATGTTTTCGTCTATGGAGCACAGAGACAGGGAGTTTTCTTTCGGAGCTCTAAATGAGAATATGTTGATTCGACATTTTAGCATTTGATGTTGTAAGCTTGGACTCTTCTCTTCTCTTTGTTTTGAATGCTCTTCTATTTATAGATGATGTTGGGTAGTTGACCGTTGAGCTTTTTCTTCCCGTTTGGCTTGAAGAATATGACCGTTGAAACTAGCCGTTGGAAGCTTCTGACGAACGTCGATTCTTCACATCATAAATTCGTTGTGGCTCTTTATCTGAAATAATGTTCCTCAGATCAAGTGATAAGTATCTGATAATCATAGACACAATAAGTTGGAAAACATGGAATCAATCATCAGATATTCAGAAAGTAAGATGAACTTACTTGATCGATGTCTTGATCGATAAAGCTTTGATCGATTATATTATCGATTAATTACATGAAGAAAAGATATAGCAGATAGATGCAATTATCGAATAGATTATGGATCATATGATGATCGAACACATGATCGATAAATGATGAAGCATGAATACAGTGACCCAAAAATGATTTATGCAAGAATAAACCTTTTCAAGTTATGTTTGCCTTCGTATCCTTTTAATAGAGAGTTATGTGTAAAAAGAAGGCTGAGAAAAGCTTTAAAGAAAATAGATCATTGATTTTAAGAATCATCATAGTCGACTGATGTTTAAACGGAAAACGTTCCATAATCGAACAAGTGATCGAACACTTGTTGATCGAACAGATTATCGATAATCCAAGTGTTACAAAAATGAAACTTCAGTCATTGATGATCGAACAAATTATTGATAAATGGATGATGGATAAAGTTATCGATAAACAAAGTGTTATAGAATAGAATTTTAAGTAATGATTTTCCGAACACATTATCGATAAACAAATAATAGATAACCTTATCGATAAACAATAAGCAAAAGTATATTCGGAGAAAACACATGCTATGTAGGTTGATCGAATAGGTGATCGATTAATGAGTGATCGATAAAGTTATCGATAAAGTAAAACAAGGAGATTTAATCCTGTAAATTCAAAGAACTAATTTATCGATCACGTTACGTGAAAAACAGGGTAGACATGTAAGAGCAATGATCGATCATATTATCGATAAATGACTGATCGATGAGGTAATCGATAAATGGAGACTAAAGCAAAACATAGAATGAGTAGAACGCATTACCATTTATCTGTCTTCTCATCGATAATCTATTTATCGATCATGCTATCGATAAATGCCTATTTATCCATAACGTTAACTTTGTTTATCGATCAAGTGATCGATAAATACATCTATCCATAATGTTATCCGAAAACCATTTATCCAATAGGTTATAAAACCTCAATAATGCATATGAAGATAAGAGAAGAATTAAAGAGATAGTACCAGGAACTCGATAAAATGATCGAATATGTAGTTGCTTGATCAGGCTCGAGTAACATCTGATAATGGCTTTTCATTTCCTCATTTTTTCTAGTGCTTTTACTCAATAACATGTTTGAGTAGTATGTTGTTTGAGAGCTTAATCAATCAATGTAGAATTTCTGGTCTTTGCCTCAATAAATTCGAAGTCTGATTCAAGCAGAACGAAGGTCAATTTTGAGTGATCATAACTCTTCCAATTCAACTCCAAATTTTGCAAATGACCTATCCCCAGAAAGATATTTGAGTCTACTTTCTAGTGCAACAAGAATCACCCCAAAATTCGTTGTGGTTGAAAATTTATCTTCATCACAATGACTAAAGGTCGGAATCAAGGCGTTAATCCTTACTGCAATGTTTCGAGCAACATATCTCCCTCATATGAAACTCTTTGAAGTTGATTTTGGTGTCCATGAACCGTGTTCTGAGTCTAGTTTCATATGAATTAAGTTTCACCTCAAACGGATTTGTGGTTTGAGAGATATTGAAGAAATACCGAACCTATGTCAGAGCTGAACGAAGAACAGAGCATAACAGAGGATGCATTTTATCGATAACTTGATCGATAAATGGATGATCGATCAAGTGATCGATAATTGCCCATGAAAATCACCTCTGAAGCTTATTTTTCATGTTTATATGAAGGGTGACTCAATATATGATGGTATAACTTCCCGGTTGTATATTTTAGCTTCCGACTGAGCCATCCAAACTTCTGATTGAGTATAGCAACGTTTAACATCAAATATATGAACTTGAATCTTGATATTTTCATTTGATCTTGCAAGTTCTTCTTTTCTCAATCTCTCTTCTTCTTCTTCCTCTTGATCATTCTCCATAACTCAAAGTGTAACATAATATCTCCTT